GCAGGGGGTTCACCCCCCTGCTTGAGTCACAAAAATAATATTAGATTTAGATCTAGCTAGGCCTAGTTTGTGACAGTTTTTAGTGCCAAAAAAAGGATTCGTGGCAGGTGGTCTGCTATCTTCAATTTTACCAATGTTTGAATATATATTAAGATGCACTTCAATTGTGGTTGATGATGCCTTCGAAAGGTACTGCGAGATAAAAAAAAGACTGCTTGACTGTTTTGCATACAGGACCTCCGAGATTTTTCGCCCTTGTCTGAGAAGGTTAGGTGTAGATCTTATGTATCAGAAGATCAGGTGTGTGGCTGAAAGACAGCAGTAAGAAGGAGCCAAGGAGTAGCAGTAGAAAGGCTGCTGAAAGAGTCAGGAGCCCAGAGGAGGGGGCAAAAGAGATGAGGGAGCGGGGGCAGGAAGAGGAGACAAAAGCAGACAACAGAACATTGCTAGAGAGCAGGAAAGGAGGTGAAAGGAGATGATTTTAGAGACTAAAATTTTTTTCCGTCGCTCCCCGGATTCAAACCCGCGACCTTTGAATGAGAGGCCAACACCTTAACCTTTAGGCCACGGGAGCCCCCAAAAAGGGTTTTAAACCCATTTCTATGTGAATAATTTGATATTTTGCAGTTACGTTTGAAATTTTCTTGAAAATGATTGATTTGCTTTTACCACAGTTTTAGTCAAACTGTATGAATGCAGCAAAAAGTACTGCAGTTTGAAGTCCAAAGGGGTACATCTATGCGGAAATGAAAGTAAAAATTTACCGAATGATGATTAAATTGAATGATTGGGAATTGCCTGAGGTCTGAATTGGATTTCACTTGAAAGTAGTGGTTGGCGGATTTGGGATTTGGTTTTGGGATTTGCTAGTACTTGGTGTGGGGGAGACTACCCAAAACCTGGATCCCCAAATCTCAAATCTTAAAAGAAGTTCTAAACAAAACAAAGTTTTGAAATATTTGCTGGCAAAACCTATCCGTACGTCGTGTTTTACCATCGTATCCATACGACGTGGGGAACTCTGTGCCACCACTTTTCAAAGAGGAAGTTTACTCGTTAATTCAATCATACGGATTGCATAGCTGTCTGTTAAAATGATTTTTTGAGAAATACTGAAAGTTTCGAAGAGATCTTCGCACTAGAAGTCTAAAATGTGAAGAATACAACCCCGGGGGTACAAAATGACCCCAGGGCGTATGGATAGGAGGGTTAAATTTCTATACTAAAATATCTTAAAATAATATTCAATTATAACACCTCAAAATGTGTTGTATGCAATACTATATATAAAAGTATATATACTGGTCCCTTAAAAAATATACCAGTAAATCGACTAAAAACTGATCACACTGACTTGTTTCACCTTCATCTGCGACAATGGAATATAAGCTGAAATCAACTTACGACGTGAGGACGAGTCCATTGTACTATCTAAAGGGGGGGACACTCAAACTCGCTTGGCTGGTAACTGGTCCTGGGATTTGGGATTTGCTCTGCTCACCCAGTACTTGGCTGCCAGAGCAGTTACGTAGTCGCCTCTCACTCTCCCACTACCAATACAAAAGTAGGGCTGGGCAATGAGTCGTTTTAGCAAAATCCGGATAATATGTCAGTGCACCTCTTGGGCAGATAATAGTATATGGACCGCTTCGGCAAACAAAAGGGTTAGGACCACTTTGACTAACGGGTTAGCACTACTTCAACAAATAGGTGCACCCAATTCGGCAAATGAGTCAGGAAAGAGATTTAAAAGAGTCTGGATTTGGATAATGTTTCATTGAGAATTATCCGGTTATCCTTATAGATTTTATTTGGATTTTGCCCATCTCTATACGAAAGCAAATCCGAAATCTACAGCTGGGGCGGTTGTAACAACAGGCTTATAAGGTGGGGGGGGAGGGGAGTTGAGTTGTATCGGGCGGCTATGACAACATGATTGGTGACGATTGATGGGCTGGTGGGGAAAATAAGCTTGGCGTTTAGTTGGATCATAAACAAAGGGTATTTGAAAAGTTTGAAAGCAGCTGTCTAGACTACGTGTTTTGCCTGTAGTGCTGGGACTATTATTTAGGAATCGATGCGATACGTGATACTTTTTCAAGGAATAAAGTCGATACCAATACCTAGTAGGCCTACTTGTACCTGATCGATACAAATTTTGTTCTTTACCAATACACTCACCGGGCACGCAAAATCAACACATTAACCTGAGAATGCAAATGTTTTTTTTCCCATAAATAATAAACTTAACCTGTGAAGGATTATCCATCTCAAAATGTTCCCACACAATACTAGTCTTTCTTGATGCCATGTTGATTTATAGGCGAAGAGCGCTTTTCTCTTTTGAACCGGATGTTTCGATTGGATTTGAAAATAACAAGTGTTATCATCCCTTGGATCAGTGAATTGCCTGGGAATAATTAGTCCCCATGTATCGAATTCCAATACCAAGACGGTATCAGGGTATTGATGCGTTGAATTGATTCCTACCCAGCACAACATGCCAGTGCTTCGCTTCTGTTCGTTTGCTCTTCTTTCTTGTCCTCTGGGACTAGGTCATTGTTCTTAACACAAAAACACTTGCTTAGGAGTCTTTTTAATCTTGTTTTCCTGGCCTTTGATCTTTAGATAAACCATTACACCAACATTAAAGCTGGGACCGCGATTCC